AAAGTTTTTGGGCTTTCAGTTGAACATGCGAGACTTTACACACTCACATATCCCCCAACGAGTACGAACTCTTTCAGACACACAGTGACTCCTATATCAACCATGTTCCCAAACTCAGTATCGACGCCTTGCAGGCCTTGCAGTATCGACGCCTTGCAGGCCTATGGGCCTTTTACTTTTCTTTATATAGATAAGGGTATAGTGCATTAAGACCACTCTTTGAGGCTGTCATTTCCTCCACCCCCCTTCCCACCAAGTGGATCGTCACCTTTCAAGCACTATGGAACGCCATGCCCCACACACTCCCCCTTGTGCCCGTCGCCCCAGTGTCGGTCATGTCCGCGGATGCCTCGAACACTGGTTTTGGTGTGATCACTCCTACAGCAACTCTGGCTGTGCTCACCCTACCCGACGGCCGGATCTTCCAACGCGAAGCCATCTGATGGAGTTCGGCAGCACTGATTGCTCGCACCCCCACACTGATCTTCACGGACAACCTGGCACTACGTCACGCCATCACTCAAGGCCACCTTCGAGCCCAGCCCTGGACCTTGTCCCTTACCATCTCGTTTTTGGCAATAAAGAAAAACCTTAGGGCAAAGTGGCTCCCGACTGGCCTCAACCCCGCCGACATGCCCTCACGTCTAACGCACATAATGCCCATCCGAAGTGTTGTGTTCTGGTATTTTTATTATTGTAGTCTCCCTATAGCTACTGTTAAAAAAATATTAAGAATGGGAGAGCAGTAGTTTTTTGTTCTGCTTTAATGGGGTACAGGAGCAACAATTTAGGGCCTACTTCTTTATGTAGACATGGTCTGCTTCATGACAGCAGCTCACAAACAGCAGTCTTTTGTCTATAAATGCAAGAAAAGCAATCCTAAAACAAATAAAAAAATGTCCTAATACTACCTGGTAGTTGAGGTCTGAGCTCTGTTGGAATGTCTCACCTCACCTAACCTAACCTAATACTACCTGGTAGTTGAGGTCTGAGCTCTGTTGAAATGTCTCACCTCACAAGCCTATCAAAAGCTACGCCACGGTGTGGCGTGTCCGATGGAGGCCTGCGGATGCGAGCGACGCTTGGCGCACGTCTCAGGTCTAGTACACCGTACCTCGGGCATTCCGACTTCTCAGATTTGTAACGCGCTGACGATAAAGCTGGCGCCACCTAGTGACGGCGATCGTAATTACTATACCCTTGGCTTCGTATCGGCCCGTGACGTTGCGAGCGTGACGTCCCGTCACGGGTAAATATTCTGCGATTTGCGTGCCGTTTTTTACCGTTTCATAATATCCTTCACTAATTTGAATGAAAATATTTTTAATTCGTGGATAGTGTATTTGATAGCACTGGCTCGTGAGCCTCTAACGAAATCGTTTTGCCAACCCTGCAGCGCGGAACAAAGCTAGTATCAATGAACAAATTTGCCCAACTTGGCACTCTCGGTCCGGTAGATGAGCTAGCTGGGCTCCGCTTCTGGGCGAACTGGGCACTGCTAGCATCACTGGCACAACAAAAAATTGGTTTGTGTGTATGTTTATACAGCCTAGAACTTGGTCTGCCTCACAGGGGCGACGAGTCTCCCAGCTGTAGATGAGCAATTTTGCCAGTGCGGTACAACCGCTACCCTGGGGTCTTTAACGTGCATCACGCAGTAGTGGTGGACGACCACACGCCGGTACGATGCTCATCCAGATCGAAACGGGCAGGGGTGGGGCTCGAACCCAGGATTCCTGGGTTCTGCAGCGCGAGCTTTCTCTCCACGTGCTCCGAGCTGGTGTGCGCTAGACCACTCAGCTACCGGTCTTTTTTTTTATATCCTTTAATTTCAGTTCGAGCAGTTACAATAAAGTCATTCATACTACTCATTGGCTACAGGTATTTCACTTTTACACAAAAGACACCCGCACTTTTTGTATGCATGAAACAAGCTACCATTGTCACCGGTATTGATATTTCCGCATACGCAAGTCGCTAGCTATCAGATAAAAACATCGGGAACGTTTCAAATAGAGTTCTATATTGTTTTTCCTAATCCTGGTAAACAGTAGTTGTAAATCGTTAAAGCATAAACAGCTGTTAAAATTGCTTCATCTGGATGATGTTATCCAGGATTGGTGCCCACTCTGGGGCCCGCTCTGCGGGAGCATAAATGCCCTTAATCTGGGTGATAATTTCACGGAAATAAACATTTACAGGCTGAGGGTTAATGTCTGCATGTCTCACTGCCATGCGTGATTTCCAGATACTAAAAAGCCCGATGACCATAAAAAGGTCGTATGGAATCAAATCTTGTTTGTCGACAGGAAGGAAACGAATGGAGTGTGGTCTGATAGGCAAATCTTTTTTTCAAAGTCCGCTTTAAGATATCCCCCCAAAAAATAGCATCCCAACAGTTAATGAAAACGTGTTCAATACTTTGTGGTTGTTTACACAGCAAGCAGTCGACTGACCACGGAACAAACATTCCTTTTTGTTGCATCCATACCTTCACGGGCAACGTATTAGTGTGTAGCTTAAAAAAGAAAGTTTTCACTGCAGGTGGAATATACATCTTGTTAACTCGACATAGCACATCTTGACCCGGAACAGCACTAAGGAGTGCCCTATAGAGCGGGACAGGGAATAGTCTGTCCAAAAGTGCTATTGTAAGTTCCTTTCTGGTTACACCGGAGAGGTATTCTCGTGAAAACCGTGCGGATAAAAAGTAAAACGCTTCGATTACTTCTTTTAGAAAACCTACGGTTGCCATAGGTTTCAAATTAACGAATGAGACCAGAAATGAAGGAAAGTAAAACGCTAATTTTGTTTGTGTCATTGTACGCACAAATGGTTGTTCCTGATCCCGTATAAAGAAAAACCGTGACACAAGTTGTCTAACAAAGAGGTGTGGTTAGCCGATGCCACCAAGTGAAATGCATCGAAAAAGGTTATCTCGTCACATCGGCTCTGACCCGGACTTCCAAATAAACAAAGCACATAACCTGTGAATTTTTGTAACATTCCTGCGGGCACAGTGTAGTACTTGCAGCACATACATAATCTTCGCAATCAGAAAAATGTTACAAGCCGTTGCTCTTGCAAAATTGGACATATCACGAAAGGGCCATAGGGACACACGCTTTTTTAAATCTCTAGTAATACCAGACCAGTAAGACGAGCAGTTGCAAAATTGATGAAGTGGTACACCGAGATATTTACAAGGTTCCTCACTCCACTCGATGCCTTCATATTCTGTGGGCTTCGTTACCCATGGATCATGCCAACACCCAGTGCATTTTCTAAAGTTCACTGCAGCTCCAGTTTCTTTGCAGAAGTTTTTCGTTAAAGCAACTGCTTCAGTTACACTTTTTTTGCCAGAACAAAATATAGCAATATCATCAGCGTACGCTAGGACTTTAATTTCTACAGAGTTTAACTTGTAACCTCGGATGTTCCCACTTTTAATGATACTCAAACAAAAAGGTTCCGAATAGAGGGCAAATAATAATGGTGAGAGTGGGCATCCTTGTCGACAGAAGACAACATTGAGATACGTGTAGTGAGTTTATGGTTTACAATAAGCTTTGTTGAGCATCCTCTATAGGCCATTCTGACTCCATCAAAAATAACTTTTCCCACTCGGACGTGTGTCAACACCTGCCAAAGAAAGCCGTGATTAACTCTGTCAAATGCTTTTTCGAGATCTACCTGTAGCAAGGCAACCTGTTCCATTTCATCTGAGCAGCATTCCAAAACACTTCTTGCAATATGAATATTTGACTGAATTGTTCTTCCTTTTATGCCACATGTTTGGTGTTCCCAGACAATTTGGCAAATTACAGATTAGAAAAAAATAATACGGTTTACTTGTCCCGCCATAATGAATATTGGAAGGTTCCCATGTACAGGTTAAATTATGGGCAGCAAATGCTTCGGTGTTTAATTCCACAACTTCTAAACAACTTTGAAAAGGAAAATGGAAATATAGAAACCATATCTACTAAAGAGTTGCGTAATATATTTTTACATATTTAAGTGTTCTGTGTCTTGTGTCTGTTATCTCATTTGATAATGTATAATTTTCTGTATGAATTTTTTTTTTATTGCACAAAAACTGTTTGTTTACTGGCTGCCGATGGGGCTGAGGGCCAGTCAAGCTTCTTGTTGAAGCTTTTTCCCTTTCGCTCCACCATTTCTTTAAATGGAAATAAAGATTATTATTATTATAATGTGATTGGCCAATAGTTGGTAACACAGCGTAGTTTTACAGAGTCTTCTGACTTGAGAATCAGAATGGTGTGTGTTTTTAAAAAGGACGGAGGAAGCTCTTTAACGCCGTATGCCTCGCGTAATACGTCAAGGAGTACAGTGCAACTACGGGTTTTGAATGTTTTGTAGGATTCCGACGTTATTCCATCAGGTCCTGGCGCCTTGTGACTGGGTAGTTCGTAGTTCGTAGTTCGGATAATGTTCCGTACCGGCCAGGGGTACGGAACATTATCCGCCTTGTGACTGGGTAGTTCGTAGTTCGTAGTTCGGATAATGTTCCGTACCGGCCACGGGCTCTGATAAGATTGTATAACCCCGATGACGTGAGCTCGCCGGCTTGCAGTGTTATCTAAAAAAGAGCGCTGCTGTCTGGGAATAGAGGCTTTTTTGCGTTGCTGCCACCAAGGCGTCTGTCTGCTGCTTAGAACAGAACTTCTGGCGAAGATGGTGGGATTTGGCGCGCAGTCAGTCGCTGCCGGCCAGCAGCAGTCACTAGGTTGAACCGTCCACGGTGCAAGGCGACACGGAGCCCTTGCAGCCAGGATTTCATCGACGGCCTGGAGCAGCGCAGGAACGCCGCGTGGAAGTAAGGCATTACGGAGCCTCTGCATGAACTTCAGCGGCCGGTTGGAGCAAGCGAACGAGCACGGGCAGTACGGACAAGGCGCATCGAGGAAATCCGCTCTACAGATAAGTGAAGTTTGCTCATTATGGCAGAACTAGGCCATGGCCCCAAGCTCGGCAGGATGACAAAATTCAACCCGAAAATCGACAACATACGCTCGTATTTCGAACGCTTTGAGAACTATGTAGACATAAATGATGTCCCTGAAGAGAAGAAACTTAAGCTGTTTCTCAACGTACTCGGAGCGGAGGCATATGAAGAGTTAAAGAAGATAGTCGTGCCTCATTTGCCGTCTCAGAAGACCTTCGGGGAAGTTAAACAGCTTCTAGAAGGTCATTTCAGACCAGCTCGCTCAATCATTGCAGAGCGTTGTAAATTTTATCGTCGAATGCAATATGAAAATGAAGGTGTCAAAGATTTCGTCACGGAACTGAAGCACCTGGCAAGAGATTGCAATTTCGGCACGTTTCTAAATGATGCGCTAAGGGACAGACTGGTAGCTGGTTTGCGTGACGAAGAAACGCAAGGGGCTCTTTTTGCACAAGCAGACCTGACGTTTCAGCTGGCATGCAAAACGGCGCTAGAGAAAGAGCTAGCTGCACAACAGGCAAAGCAAATGCATGAATTTGACGGGAAACCACACAGCGTCAACGCCGTTCGCGGCGAACGACACCGTGATAAGGGAAAGAAATCGGGGGCAGTATCACGGTCGAAAGATAAGGAAGATGAAGAACTGCGTAGTGCTTGCTGGCATTGCGGAAAGCGCCATAGGGCAGAAAAATTTTGGTATCGAAACCACACTTGCTGAAATTGTAACAAAAAGGGGCACCTGCAAGCCGTCTGCAAGAAAGGAGCCAAAACAAAGGCTGTGAGATACGTCGACACCACGGACGAGGAATCCGAAGAATTGAGCTGCCATACCGTGTTCTATTCAGGCAAACATTCAAGGGGCTACAGCGTAAATCTCAAGATTGAAGGGAAAACTGTCTCTATGATAATTGACACGGGTGCAGCGGTCACGATCGTACCAGAGCGTGTGTACAGACAGTATTTTCCGCATGTAAAATGCGTCGAAACAAATGTGTCATTGCACACTTACACAGGGGAAAAGCTGAAAGTGCTTGGAAAAGCAAAAGTTTTGGTAGACCATGAAGGAAGCGAGATCACTTTGCCCGTGGTTATAGCACAAGAGAACGGAACGTTGATGCCCGCTGGCCTGGGAAGAGACTGGCTAGAAAAATTAAAGATAAACTGGAAAGCAGTGTACAGTATGTCCGCTGATAGATCACTGGATCAAAGGGTAGATGCCTTACGAAAGAGGTATCCCCAGGTTTTCAAGTGCGCCTCCGGCATCGTCAGGAACTACAAAGCTCGCATCTATGTAAAAGAAGGGGCTCAATCAGTGTTCTCAAAAGCCCGGCCAATACCGTTTGCGATGAAAGAGGAAGTAGCAAAAGAGTTGGAAAAGCTTGAGCAAAGCGGAATCCTCAAGAGGGTCACGAAAAGCGACTGGGCAACACCTCTGGTGGTGGTCGCGAAGAAAGGCGGCGCAGGATTACGATTATGCGGCGACTACAAGGTCACGGTTAATCCTGTTCTGAAAACTGGCCATTACCCTTTGCCATTGCCGGAAGATTTGTATTCTATGCTTGCCGGAGGAAAGATCTTCTGCGTCCTAGATCTATCGCAAGCCTATCAACAAGTGCCGCTAGCTGAGGAAACCAAAGCGTTGTTAACTGTGAACACGCATCTCGGATTATTTCAATTTCAGCGGCTTCCGTACGGCATCGCTAGCGCCCCGGCTATCTTTCAGTCATTAATGGACGAAGTTTTAAAAGGGATTTTAAAAGTGGGCTGCTATATCGACGACGTCATCGTCGTAGGCGACAACATAGACGACTGTCAACAAACCGTGGAAAAGGTGCTTGAAAGACTGGCAAAGCACAATATCACAGTAAAAAAACAGAAATGTGAATTTTTCAAGCAGTCCGTCGTTTATCTTGGGCACAAAGTGACAACTGATGGCATTTTTCCAACTGCGACAAAGATAAAAGCAATCACGGAAGCACCTCAGCCAAGCAATGTAACCGAACTGCGAGCCTTCTTGGGCCTGCTGAATTTCTACGCAAAATTCATCAAAGACTTAGCTACAGCTGCTGCGCCAATGTATGATCTACTCAAAAAGGACAAGAGTTGGGTTCGGACGGACGCATGTTCAAGATCGTTCGTGGAATCTAAGCAGCGTCTCATCGACAGTGAAGTTTTGACAATTTACGACGTGAAAAAACCGATCGGATTAAGCTGCGACTTGTCCGCCTACGGTCTTGGAGCCGTTATTTTTCACGTCATGCCCGATGGTTCAGAGAGACCTATCGCCTTTGCCTCCAGAACATTGAACGCAGCGGAGCGTAACTACGCACATCGCGAGAAGGAAGCCCTGGCCATAATTTTTGGTTTAAGCAGGTTTCATAGATACCTCTATGGACGCAAATTCACGCTGTATACAGACCATCAACCGCTGTTGGGCATTTTGGCATCAGATAATCCAATTCCTTCTCTGGCTGCAGCGAGGATTCAGCGTTCGGCTATCACCTTAGCAGCTTATCAGTACACGCTACGGCACAGAAACGGCAAAAACATGGAAGTTGCTGACGCACTTCCAAGGCTGCCACTTCCAGTCAAGCATAAAGACGACACCAAAGAATGTTTTGCAGTCTTTGATTCAACGCCTCTCACTGCGAGCCAGGTGGTGGGTGCGACTAAAAGGGACCGCATTCTTTCCACAGTTGTGCAGTTCACCTTATCTGGCTGGCCCGCGCACTACGATGATCAACTGCAGCCTGTTTACGTTTGTCGAAACGAACTATCGTACGAGCAAGGCTGTGTCACGTGGGGCCAACGAGTCATCATTCCGGACGAACTTAAAAACGCAGTGTTAGCATTGTTGCATGAAGAGCACCCAGGAATGCAAAGAATAAAGATGCTCGCGAGGTCTTTTGCTGGGTGGCCGTTGATTGACAAAGACATCGAAGCCATTTTCCGTCAATGTAAAGTGTGTCAAACGACCTTGCCTGCGAAGGCACCAGGACCACTTCATCTATGGACTTATCCAACTCGTGTTTGGCAAAGAGTTCATGTCGACTTCGCCATGAAGGATGGCTCGAACTTATTCCTTCTAGTAGACTCCTACTCAAAGTGGATAGAAGCAAAATGCCTCCGTACTACAACGACATCAAAAACAATCGACTGTCTCAAAGAGATATTTGCAGCCTATGGCTACCCGGAAGAACTGGTTAGTGATAACGGACCTGAGTTTACGTCGCACGAGTTCTCTGATTTCGCTGCTTCTCACGGAATTCGACACACTCGTACGCCACCGTACCATGCTTCGTCAAATGGGGCAGCAGAAAGGCTAGTTCAGACAACAAAAGCTTCTCTACTCAAGCAAGTGCTTCACGATAACTTAACAGGCCAGCACAGAACTCTGCATCAGCGACTTAGCGACTTCTTGCTTGCTTACAGGAACACCCCAAATTCTGTAATGGAAAGAACGCCGGCTGAGTTGTTCCTGAAACGACAACCTAGAGTAAAGCTTTCGCTCTTGAAATCAAGTTTTGTGCAGGACATGAGGAGTCGTCAAAACCGAGACGCCACGCATCGCAACGAGGGCCGAGGAAGGGACCTGCAGATAGAAGTTGGTGATCCAGTTTTCGGGAAGACTACGAGATGGGAAACCCTGTCGTGGGAGGAAGCTGTCCTGGCACAACGCGTAAGCGACTCTACGTTTGTAGTCAAGGTCGGAGATCATTTTCGTTTTGTCCATATCGACCATTTGAGACCCAGTTGGACATCTGGACCAAAAATATTCATCCATCCGGACGTCGCGCAAGAAGCAGAGCCCGCTCTAAGTGCCAGTAGTCAGCAGGACTTTACAACAAACCTTACAGAACGTGAGACCTCTGGTGAATTCATGGTTAGCGGTCCTACTGCGGAACAGCTGGACGACGTACGCTTAGGTGACGCCACTCCAAGAGAGCAACTGGTATCGCAGCCTGAGGCAGAACACTCAGCAGCGCAGCCCTCAAACATCACCACGGCTACAGCCATGGCATCACCCGAAGAGGCCCCTTTGCGAAGAAGTAATCGCACAAGACGTCCACCAGATCGCTATCAAGCCTCCAATTATGAACGCGAAAAGAAACGCTCGTAGCTTTAATTTAAGGAGGGAGGAATGTTCCGTACCGGCCACGGGCTCTGATAAGATTGTATAACCCCGATGACGTGTGCTCGCCGGCATGCAGTGTTATCTATAAGAGAGCGCTGCTGTCTGGGAATAAAGGTTTTTTGCGTTGCTGCCACCAAGACGTTCGTCCGCTGCTTAGAACAGAACACAAAAGTTTTTCGTTAAAGCAACTGCTTCAGTTACACTTTTTTTTTGTCAGAAAAAAACATAGCAATGTCATCAGCGTACGCTAGGAGTTTAATTTCTACAGAGTTTAACTTGTAACCTCGGATGTTCCCACTTTTAATGATGCTCAAATCAGAAAAATGTTACAAGCCGTTGCTCTTGCAAAATTGGACATATCACGAGAAGGCCATAGGGACACACGCTTTTTTAAATCTCTAGTAACACCAGACCAGTAAGACGAGCTGTTGCGAAATTTATGAAGTAATACACCGAGATATTTACAAGTTTCCTCATTCCACTCGATGCCTTCATAGTCTGTGGGCTTCGTTACCCATGGTTCATGCCAACACCCAGTGCATTTTCTCCAGTTCACTGCAGCTCCAGTTTCTTTGCACGAGTTTTTCGTTAAAGCAACTGCTTCAGTTCCACTTTTTTGTCAGAACAAAATATAGCAATGTCATCAGCGTACGCTAGGACTTTAATTTCTACAGAGTTTAACTTGTAACCTCGGATGTTCCCACTTTCAATGATGCTCAAACAAAAAGGTTCCAAATAGAGGGCAAATAATAATGGTGAGAGTGGGCATCCTTGTCGGTCAGAAGACAACATTGGGATACATGTAGTTAGTTTATGGTTTACAATAAGCTTCGTTGAGCATCCTTTGTAGGCCATTCTGGCTCCATCAAAAATAACTTTTCCCACTCCGACGTGTGTCAACACCTGCCAAAGAAAGTCGTGATTAACTCTATCAAATGCTTTTTCGAGATCTATCTGTAGTATGGCAACCTGTTCCATTTCCTCTGAGCAGCATTCCAAAACACTTCTTGCAATATGAATATTTGACTGAATTGTCCTTATTTTTATGCCACATGTTTGGTGTTCCCCGACAATTTGGCAAATCACTTGTTGAAACCTCCTCGTTAGAATTTTCGTGAATATCTTATAATCCGTATTAAAAATAATGTGATTGGCCGATAGTTGGTAACACAGCGTAGTTTTACAGAGTCTTCTGATTTGGGAATCAGAATGGTGTGTGTTTTTAAAAAGGACGAAGGAAGCTCTTTCACGCCGTATGCCTCGCGTAATACGTCGAGGAGTACAGTGCAACCACGGGTTTTGAATGTTTTGTAGAATTCCGACGTAATTCCATCAGGTCCTGGCGCCTTGTGACTGGGGAGTTCGTCAACAGATTTTGTATTTCTCCTACCGTGATTGGTTCTTCAAGCCATTCCGTTATATGGTTTTGCAATTGGGGCACATGCATCAACAAATTAATTACACCCATCGAGCCCGTATGTGGTGTCTTTTTCTCAAAAAGGTCGGTATAGTAATGAACAAAGGCCTTTTCGATGCTGCTGGAATCAGTCTTGATCTGATTGTTAAATTCAATTTCATAAATA